CAGTTTTGCAAGAGTTCTCTTCTCTTTATTCTTTTACAATCACTTATTTCCTATAAAAAACTATTTTACAGAGATTACTTGCACTTGAATTTTTGGTGGAATGTGTTTTTTTTTTCGATTACACAAATACTCACATTATCATCCAAGTGTTTTACGAAACGTGTGATCACGTACACAGAAAAATAAAAAGTTTTGTTCAACATAATTACATGCTCGAAAGAAAAATCCTGCATGAAACACGTATTCATGTATTATGTACACACCAATTACATCGACGTCCACGTTTTGTTGGTTTTACAAAAAAATATATACATACACAATGTACATGCCATCGATGTGACGGCACTTTCAACGGTGTCCTAAATATGTCAAGACAAACGTTTTGTTGAAAACACTTTATTTATTATTATTATTTTTTTTTTCAAAGCCGTGAGATTAAACCGACGCTTTCTACCAAGCCTACAGCTAGAAATGTAAAAGATTCGTTGACACCGAGAAAACTCCTCGAGCATCTCCTTCAAGCGGGTATGAGCAGTCCGTACCTGAGCCCAACGTTCGTAAGGCTCTGGGTCGCGGAGACCTTGAGCACGGCCACGGCAAAGGCGGCCAGTGTGACAGCACCTTCGAGGTACAAGCCGTAGAGGACGCGCACGTGGCCGGCTATGGTGGAGAGGCCACCGCCACTGGTGAAATCCAAAGGAAACAGCAAAGAGTCCGCCACGGGCTTCAGGCGCGCGAAACCGAAGCCTATGATGCCCAGAGTGTAGTAGGCACCTACAAAAACGGAGGTCTCGTTGACTCCATCTATCTCTTTTGATTGATTGAACAATGCTCACCCAGGCCGAGAAACGGCGTGACTTTGACCCACGTAGGCATCGGCAGGTAATCGTAGACCAACGGATCGCTCTGGCACTCCTCCCTGTAGCTCCTGAGTATGCCGTACCTCTTGAGGCGCACCGCGAGCATGAGCCCGATGTTCAGGACGAGGAGAAAGTGCGCGGGTATGCCGATGAAGCCGAACAAGACGGTCACCGTGCGGCCCGCGCTCGTCCGCGGCACTGGAGCACCGAAACCTTGGGATAGAAGAGAAAAGAAAATTCCAGGAAGAACAGCAACGGCAGCCAGTTGAACTCACCGAGAGTCGTCAGCACGGAAATGGCAAAGAGCACGCAACCGGGATATGTCCAGAGTTGTCCGCTCTCGCCTCCCTCGCCGTACCCCGAGCTCACGGCCATCAGGAGCATCTTCTCGTGCCTGGCCACGTACTGCCGTATCTTGTGACTCCACATGGGCTCCGTCTCCTTGTCGTCGGCCTTCAACTGCCGCAACTCCGTGGCCAAATTGACGGCCAAGTCGCGCTGCATGTGCTTCAGCTCGACCACCTGTTGGCGCTCGCGCGGCCCTTCCGTCACGTAGAATGCGGACGCCCCCAGCACCGCCCACATCGTCAGCAGCCACGCCAGGCCTAATTGTACATTGTTGCATCATTGAAAGACAATCACGCGCACATACCTGTTCATCCATCAAAAGTATATATAAAACAAGTAACTCACCAAACTGACAGAGGGCGAGCCTGCAGAGAAAGCGAAGGCACCGGCAGATAAAGAACGACTCTCTGCCCTCGTAGGCCTTGTCCTTCAGGGTCGGGAATATCCTGAGCCTGTACAGGACCAAGTTGTGCGTTTGCATGGAGGCGTCCTTGCCCGAGGATTTTTGCCGCTTTGGTGCCGCCGGCGCGCCCAAACTCCTGTCCTCCTCGGACGAGCGGGGGGGAAGGGGCGAGAGCTTTTGCGCCATCGGTGCTCGGGGCCTTGGATTGGCGTCCAGTTGTTTTTCATCCCCGACTGTGGTGCCGTGGCCATCAGGAAGCACGTTTTTAAGGAAACGCAATAAATATGTTTCATTAAAAAAATAATATACAATCAGCCCCTCACTGAGCTGAGAGCATTTTTCATCCCAATGGCCAATATACTTATTACACCATATTATATTATATTACGGCACGCAAGGCCAGGAGTGTGCAGTTTTTGCCCAACGATCGAATCGATCGGCGCGTTAACGTGTGTGCGCGTCGAGGCTTACGTGCTCTTGGCATTGTTTCGTTTTACGCGTAATATATAAACGATGTGCAACAGGTGCGAGATGGTGAGGAAAAGTACAGGGATCCACATCACCTTCGTCAGTGGCGTAGCAGATGACGTCCTCGGGTTCCTCGGTCGCCCGCTTCTCCTCCCTCGTTCTCGTCGGCGTTTTGTCTTCCCTGTTTCGACAGATTAGTTTTTTTTTCCCCTTTTGCTTATGGTAGCAGTACGCAAGTGATACCGATTTAGTGCGAGGGCGCTCGATGTTTTTTGTTTCTTCAAAGTCCATCGAAAAGCGAGTGACAAAAAACAATCAACACCGCTGCTAAGTTGTTTATCAAGTATTGCTTTGCGCGATCCCTATACAGCCAATTGTTACAGCTCGCGCTCTCTCACCTGTCCGCGTATTGTACATATAGAGAGTTGGTATAATTGCCGCTAACAGGTGTCGATCAACCGCTATACTTGCGCGGACAGTTGAACGATCACGACGTGAGACCGTTTTTTTGTTTTCTTTTGGCCAACCAAACGTGGAATGAACAATTGTACACTTAGCATCGAGCGTCCGCGAGTGAAAAATATCAACGAGAGGGAAAAAACACGCACCTCTCGTAGCTCCTCGGTGGTTCGTCTTTGTCCTCCTCGTCGGACTCCCTCCAGCCGTTGGGGCTCTCCTTGGGGTCATCGCCCATCCTCAGCTCGGCAGCGAACTGGGCCCGGCCCGGGGTCGTCGTGCTCGCAAAGACCGGCCGGACGCGGCGACGCGAGCCAGCCGGCACCACGAGGTGTTGCTTGCTCCGCGCCACCAGCCAACTGGCCGATCTGGCTCTCCGGCGCGCCGCCGCCGCCAACAGCTCGCTGCACCCCGGCGCTCGCCGGCTCGCCGGGAGCTCGGACACGTCCAGGGATATCGAGCGCAGCGGCGGCGCCGGGAAGCGCGGCACCTCCATCACGCCGCGCCCCGAGGACTCTCTCAGTGCCCGGCCATGCTCACAACGACCGGCCTCGTTCAGCGTCACCTCGATCGACAGCCACTTTTTTCCGGGACAAAGGACAATCGGTCGTTTCGTGAGTTGACAATAAATATACCTATATGTAGCACATCGGTTGGAGGGGGGAGAGTTGGAAAAGTTGCTCGGGATGCTTATAAATTAGCAAGCATTAATCGATAAGAACACATCTAGCTTAACGGTTTTTTTAATCAAATGCATCGGTGTGGGGTGTGTGTTCAAGGGCTTTTAGATTTGTGGTACTTTAATAACAACAATAATGCTTTTGCTAAATTGACCGTTTCAAGTGTTCTCATACTACATGAGAACATTATACATTAATACATTGTATTATTTGTACAGTGTTATGTATTTTTCACTATAAAAATATATGAGGTACCAAAAAAAAAAAAAAAAAAAAAAACAGGCTACCCTTTGATACATAACGACCGAGTTATTCCAACAACGTGTCGGACCCGATTTTTTTTTTTTTTTTTTTCTTTTTATCCTCTTCCCCCTTCATTTGTCAAAGGGTTGGACACGCGAGCCTCCCCAAGTCACAAAAAACAGAGGCACATCTTCGTTATTATTCATCGAGTGAAAGATTTACCCCGTGCGTACATGGGGTACATGTTTACACGCTACACTACAAACATTTGTACTGGCTCGCACGCGGCCCGATCAGATTTTATCCTGTCGCCCGGTAAATTATTCACTCGATCGGCAATCGAAGCTCCATTTTTTTTACGCAACAAAAAAAAAAAAAAAAAAAAAGCAAATTACACCTGGTCTGACGATAAAGCGACCTTCGCTACTTGTTTTCTCGAATCGGCGCACCCGTGCCCATAATTATACACCCATCAAAAACCCGTGCTTTTTCACTCCTTCAAACATTACACAAGAAGGGCTCGACAACTTGCCACGTGTACATGCGCGTATAATGTCATGCATACACCTTCCTTTGTTCGACGCGACAATGGAACTTCTTATAGCATACATAAACACACAACCCGCTCCCATCCCGTGTGACAGTCAAGGCTTCCGAGCAACACACGCGGCGATCGATCGATATAATATATTTTTCCGTGCAAAAACTAACGATCGCGTTGTATACGCTCGGCTTACATTAACGTGTGGCTCCCCGTGTACGCGCGACGAGACAAAAAGTCATTTTTTTTTTTTTTTTTTCGAGGGTATGAGGCCGCGATCGCTTGAGTGGCCAATCGTGGAGTATAAAAAAACAATATGTACATATACTGACGCTATTCGGGGAGTCCATCGTCTTCTCCGTGATTCGTATCATCTTGCCGGTCGGTCAGCACGAAAAAATCGTGGAAAAACCCGCACAGAATATCCGAAATGAACAAATCTCACTTGAATGTACACGCGAGTGTCAACGATAGTATATGCCCCTTGAAGGGGTAGGGGCCGATTCAGGTGAACGTCATTGTTGTCGCGTGTGGAAATCGTGGGGCTTTGCTCATTTCTCGAAGACGCCAGCTTTAGCGACACTGACGAGCGCACCTCGGCTGGACTTGGCGCTGAGCTGTGCATATACCCTGTACACCTTGCACCACGTGGTCGCGTTACGCTTATATTTACTCTATACCTACTTTTCATGTATACCCCGTCTTTGATCGTTATGCTCCTCTTCTTTCTTACGCGTGTCTGTGTAGAGCCCGCGTGTGTGTGTGTGTGTGTATGTGTTTACTCTGTCCTGCAACGATTCGATCGGCTTTTCCGACAACTGCGACTATGAGATTTTTCTATACTTCATCCGTCCTCATTTTTTTTTTTTTTTTTTTTTTTTTATTCAAGCCAAAAAGTATGCTTTATAACTACTTCAATGTGTTTTATGTTGCCTAGTGTACAATCGATCCTCTTACGTGATTTTTTGTGATTTAAAGTCATCCCATGAAATAACAATTTTAAAAAATACCACAATGGTCAAATGGGACATTTATTACGCTTCATCAAATGTGCTAAAAAATATACACGGATATGTTTGCACAGTTAAATTTTCACTCGTTCAAAAGTGTCATATTTTCACTACTTATCTATTTGTGTAATCACAACTTTTTTTTTTAATTCGAAAAGATGTCAGTGTCGAATCTTTGATTTTTATTATTAAAAAAAAATTTGATAGACACGAAAAGTGTGCTGCGAATAATAAATGAAAGTTTTTCTACCCCTATCGCACCTCTATTTTTATAAAGAATGTTAATGATAATCTTTTTGCATAGGAAAAAAAAAAGACCAAAGCTATAGTTTAAATTGCAGATCCAATCGAGCCGCGCGTAGTGTTGGGAACGTTCATGAGCTGTGGTTGAAATATATACGCGAATGAATTATTAAAAATTATTGAATGCGAAGGCTAGTTTGTTTTAGTTTTTCTGCTTTAAAAAAAAAAAAAAAAAAAAAGAGCACAGTCGATCGAGAGTATAAAAAATTTACTGTCAACTGTTAAGGGACAAATTATTTTTATCGAAAAAACAAACAATATTAAACAATTAAAAGAAAATCTTATCTTCAACTATACTTGTCAAAACTTGTTCATGCATGTAGTTAACGATAAAGTGACTATGTCTGTTTGTAATTGACAGAGGGTCCGCGGGAAGCTATTCATTCAGAGGCCAAACGGGACCGGAACCTGAATACCGGATCATACAGGATTGCGAGTTCGATGCTCTTCGATTATACCTATTCAAGTATCATAGTCGGCTCGTGATTTTTGTTCTTAAAAAGCTATCGGGAGCTCGAACATTTTCAAAGAAAAAACAAGATGTGGTTGTTTAATTTACCAAGTAAATTACAATAATGAAGGTACCCTCGCATCACTGTTGTACGTGACGAATGTCACCCGCGCTGAACATGATGCGAGTATATTTTAACGGTAGAAATTTATTTATTTTTTTATTGAGCACGACACTTTTTCAATCGTAAAAATGAAGCCAATACCTACCAACTGCTTCCCAAGGAAAAAAAATGGATTTTCCTGAAAACACTTTGCACCTCACTCTTTCACATATGCTCGTTTTAACTTAAAAATGTAAATTATGGACAGTTGCAAAATGTTTTATTAACGATTTTGCAAAAAAGATGGGTGTCAGCACACATATTGTCATCGACTCGCGCGGCATCGGCTTTTACAAAGCGACCCGAAACTCCAACTGTTCCACAAAACGGCACTCAATAATCACGATTCGAAAATCAAAATTTTCCAAAACATGTCGGGAGGGAGGGGGAGGGAAAAAACCGATATGCAACTCATTCGTTCGCTTCTCCGACTGAAACTGCGCGCGCGATCGAGCGCCTCGCCAGACGAGCACACACCTGCGAGGGCGACGCGCGAACTTAATTTTAGGCGAGGCGCGCCGCCTTTGATGAAACAACTCATCCAAAGCCAGAAGCGTCGATCCTCCCCCTTACCTCCCTCGCTTGGCTCCTCCTCAGTTCCACCTTGGCGATATATATGCACGCAATTATCGTTTACACGCCCGCGCGCCCCGAGAGAGCCGAGCTTTAGTTTTTGGCGCGCTGTGCTTGTCCGACGGGTGTAAAGACAGCTCACACCCCCTACCCCTGCGTTCGGCTTTTTTTTGCTCTCGTGAGGTATCCACGTATATATGTAGGTCTTTGTTTTTTTTTTAGTGAGTTATAGGTATGGAAGGAAGAGTCGTAATTTTGGTAATTTACAGAGAGTCGTAATTTACAGGTTTCATGAGTAAACTCGTGAAGGTAGATTGTAAAGAGATACTCTGACGGCGTGATCATTTAAGAAATATTATTTTTTATTTTTACCCTGCACTCAATTTGATGATTGAAGTATAATTTATGATTTCTCGAGTGATGAAGCAAGTAGCACAGAATACGATATTGGAAGACGATGACAACGTCCTTAACGAAACTTTGGAGTACGACGTCGATTCAATACTCGATTGAGCAATCAAATTACTGTACGACTTTTCGAGTAATTTCATCTACATATACTTACCCAATGTGCTTTTAAAAGGATTTGCATGTGATTGACGTTGAAAGCTACCGCTTTACGATTCACAATTTCTTTTGTAAGTATGGGACTGTTCGATTGTAGTGCCTTACACAGGTTTAGTTTCACCGGAGCTAAATATAAGTTATCAATTACCTTAAACAGTACACTTTTTTCTCAGGTGTTAATTGAGCGATGTAAATCGTTGGAGTTACTAAAAATGTCGTAAAAAAAGCTCTGCAACGCAAAAAAGGTAAACAAAAAAAGCGCAAAAATTTGTCCATCAGGTACATAAATAAATTAACATTTTGTTCTGAAATTTTAAACACAAGAGTTAAAAATTTTTGAAAATGACCTTCTTTTTATCCTGACAATGTTATCCTAAAGTCCTAAACTACGAAAATTGTTTTAAACTCGCAAAACCATTGTAAAGTAACCCCTTTTTTACCAACCGTTATTTTTAAGATAAAAACATTTGTAATTATTTTTTGGAAGCCAATGCTTTTTACCATTATTATTATTATTATTATTCTTATTTTATTATTATTATTAGGATTATTTTTATTATTGTTATTATTTTTTCTAGTATTTTAAGTAAACTGCATAGGTAAAAAATAAAAAAAATTTCCTTCATTTATCTATTTGTTTCCTAGTTTAATTTTTGCAAAATGATAAAAGTTAAATATTATTTGTAAAAACGAAAAGGCCCTCGATCAAGTTACACAGTATGTATATAAAGTTCCTTGTACCCGCTGATGTTACGTTTGCACAGGATTAAAAAAATGTTTGCCAAACTTCTCTATTTTTGTTTTTTCATGGAAAATATCAAACAAACATTTTAATTTTCAACACATCGTTACTAGTTACGAGAAACAAAAGTGCTTTGACTCAAGCATCAACAACAATCAAGAACAATAAATCGCTCGCGACAAAAAACGTCCCACGGATCATCGAAAAGCGTACATCGAGGGAGAAAAGAAAAAGGGGTGAGTGGGGGCTGGGGGACTATCCAAGTTACGTAAGAGTAAAAGCGTCAAAGTAGTACGTGAGGCAGAAAAAGAGCTCACTCAGTGCCGCGAGTACGTGTACAGGACGGTATGGTAATACAGGGACGGCCCCAAAGCCCCATCGATCCAACAAAGTCTCAAGCGGCGCCAGATTAATTTTCCACTTCTCGCCTATACCTCGACTGTATGCAACGACTCTTTAATCTCAAACGCTATTTTTATTTTTTATTTTTTATTTTATTTTTTATTAATTGAATCGATGCTCTTTTTATCCAAAAGACGCACTGTTAAAATCAATATTAATCATCGTAATAAACCAACAAATGACGTACGTTCGATTGTAAAGTAACACCCCATATCGAATTGAAAAAATCCCTCTCCAGCGGCACACACACACACACACCCTCTCGGAGGGAGAGCAAAGCTCAATCCAACCCCGTTCACTGTATACTTTGGTCGCGCGCACCCACCACAGCGCACGGCACACCCGCGCACACGGACACGAAATGAAAAAAAAAAAGAAGGAAAAAAAAAACAAAAAAAAAACAGAGCAAGCAGTAGCGTAGTGCGGCACGAGCCGCTCGGCTGTACGCGTCGTATCAGCCACGCTCGCCCCCGCTCACAGTTACCCGCAGATGCGCCGATGGCGCAGGTACGCCGGGCTGGGCCTGTGCGCCTGCTGGCTGCCCTTGGCCATCAGGCTGCTGCTCCTCGGGCGCGGCTACGTCGAGCCCTCGCTCGCCCTCATCAACGGCCCGGCCATTGGCAGGGATGGGGACTCTGCCACCGGGGCACGGGTGGATCGCAGGCTCGCGCAGTCGACGCCGGCCTTCGTTGGAGCGTACATGGCCGAGCGTCAACCCGCCAACGTGTCGTACTGCAGGTAATACGCGTGCAAGCTTTGAGGGAGGAGGGGGAGTTGCGGTGACGGTATCGTATGTATGTATAGGACGCAAGGGGTGGTTTTGCCCACGCGAGAGGATCCCGGTGAAGATAGGAGTGGACTTTTTGGCGTTTGATTTTTCTTTTTTTTTTTTTCCCTCATTCGGGAGTGTGCTCACACCCTTGCTTAATTTATTATTTACTGCTGTTGCGTGCCTGGACAAACTAATCGATTTAGTACCTGTTGGGTGGCATGTATCAACGTGATGTTTTTTCATTCGGAGCCACAAAAATGTTTACTTGACCGCTATTATTTCGTTACCTGCTTCTCCTCCCAAGCCCTCAAAAGTTTTAGGTCTTCCGATCAATAGTTTCTTCATTGATTCGTATTTTAAATTGTATAAAAATGCATCATCTCCAGTAGTAGGTACATACATCTTTGCTCGAATGAAAAGGACAACAACACCAAAGTTGACAAGATTTCAAACCGAGTCGCGACTGCTGCATTTACCACAATACGTCAACTCGGAATATATATAGATTATTAGAAGTACAATGTAGAAAAAAAGCTTTTATTTTTAATTAAACCGCAATCTTCGATAATGGTCATTTGACGAGAAATGGTAACAAATATAAATGGCACGTGATCTGTGTGCAAACAGGTGGCAGTACGAGCTTCCCGAGAGCCTGGTCTACCTGGACTACCAGCTGATAGGCAGTCCCGAGGCAGGACCAACGGGCGGCCCAAACGGCGTCCTCCCGTTCGCCATCCGCGGGTCGCAAAACGCTGCCGATCTCCCACCGGTCACGCTCTGCAGCCACGCCACGGCCGATCAGGTGTACAGCATCGTCGAGCTCGCCAAACGCTGGGAGGGCCCCCTCTCCCTGTCCGTCTTCGTACCCGGCCACGACCTCGGCCTCGCCGTCCGGCTGCTCGACCTCGCCTGCCACTGCGAGCCGGCCATGTCCAAGGTATACGCTCCACCGCAAACTCGCCCACATATATACCTACATGTACACATATTGGATTATCTTCGAAAAGGTCTCCGTCCACTTCATCTTCCCGCGTAACGAGCCGCCGAGCCTCGAGGCCCCTCCATCTGCAGCCGATCTGGCCTCGCCCGATCGGAGCTGCGGAGCTGCCGATCTTCAGCGCAAGACGGCCAACAGTACCGATCGCCACCGATTGGGTCTCCTGTACCCGATAAACGTGGCGCGCAACGTGGCCCGGTCCCTGGCGCCGACGCAGCGCGTCCTCGTGTCGGACATCGAGCTCCTGCCGAGCGAACATTTGGCCTCGCAGTTCGCGGCGATGCTCAAGGGCAGGACCCCCAAGAGGGCCATAGCCTTTGTGCTGCCGGTTTTCGAGATCGAGGCCAGGCTCGCCCCGCCCGCCAACAAGAAGCAGCTTCTTGTCGCGCTCAGAACTGGAAACGCCGTCTATTTTCACAGGTACATTTTGGGTGTGTGTGCGGGTGTAGATTGCCTCTGAACTCCTCTTTTTGGAAAAAAAGACTTTTCCAATGGCTAGTATTAAGGTTGTGTTGATGCGGCAGAGGTGTGAGTGTGCACGCGTTTTGGTTTAAGGTTCCTTTGTCCGCACTGCCAGAGATTTCCGGGGATCGAGACCAGGTGGATACTGAGACCGGATCCGGGCAAGGTGAGGCCGCTGATCATCACCAGAAGGGAGTACCCGAACAACAGGTGGGAGCCCATTTTCATCGGAACAAAGCACGACCCCTTCTACGCCGAGGACATGACGTGGGAGGGTCGCCAGGACAAAATGACTCAGGTATAATAATAATCCAAGCGTTATCTCGGCTTGAGTATCGTAACAACTATACTTACATGCCTCAATCGCAGATGTTCGAGATGTGCCTAATGAATTATCGACTAATAATCCTCGACGGTGCGTTCCTGGTGCACACTCCGGGAATCAAACGCAAGCCATTTGTTGACGGACAGCAGCCGCGCGTCGACGAGCGACAGCGAGCCCACGAGAGACGGAACGCTCGTATCTACCAGAGGATCACGCGGCGGCTTCTCAAGAGGTATCCTGTCAACAATAGGTGCAAGTCGTGAAGGTTGTTATTTTGACGAGGTAATTCATTGTATTGCGAGCGAGATAATACAAAGGAAAGGAGTAACGACACGAAGCTGACAATACTAATTGTTATAAACATTATTGCCACGTATGGTTGTGCGCTGTAGGGTATTTTGTAGATGGTCATGATTACATTGTGATATGAAAGAGGGTTCTTTGTTTTTCTTCTTTTTTTTCAACTGTGTAATAAGTATATATTGTGGCAATTTGTTAGGAACTCTTACAGGAGATAATTCTTTACCTACCAATTTGTCATTTTATTCGAATAGTTTTAGGAATTCACAATATCTTAGTTTTGTGCAAAGTAATACGGTTGTAGTCAATTCCGTACCTTACCAGTCAAGTGTTTGTTAAGGACGAAATTTTGTCTCACAGCATAAAATTTCAGGTAAAAATGACGTTTCAAATTTTAATGATGATATTGTTGTAGTAAAGATGATGCCAACAAATATTTCGGGACTTTTATGATTTTTTTGTTGAGGCTGTACGTACACATAGTAGACAAGACTTACCTCAAAAGGGTCAGCCTGTGTTTGACTTCCTGCATAGGTGTACAAACGTAAGTATATTAACAGGTTCTTTCCAGGTAATAAATTATGTCGCACACGTGCATTTTCCAAGTTTTTGAACTTAGACCTTTTTTATTAGAATTTTTTGTATTTCGATCCTACAAATAGACTTATTGAGAGTGAACGAGTAACTACGATATAAGTATACATAGTAATTGTTTTTTTAATTTTATAGAATACCTTGAAAATCTACACATATTAAATATTCACTTAGCAACTACTGCGCTTCATTAGAAACATAATTGATAACATGAAAATTATGTTATTGAGCAAAAATTATTCATATCAATAAGCGTAATTTATTGAGTACAAATAACTATACTGAATACATTTAACTTAGACGGTAAGTGATTCTACGAGAGCCACAAATAGATAAATTGATAATAAACCGATAGCACATTGATAATAGATTAATAGACTATTAGCGATCGTTATCGATGTATTTTATCTATGATGTATTACTATACGGCTATTCTTGTGGCCCAATATAGTTAAATAAGATGGTAATTGATGTTGCGATAACCAATAACAGATAACACGGTCGATTACTGTTATTCAAGCTGAATGGTAATAGCATTACATCATTGCTTCACTGTAAAAAACATATTTCGATAACAATCGCTGATAAAGTAAATTTACTACGTTATATTAAATACTTTTGTAGGAACTGTATTTTAGTATGAAAATATATCATTAAAAGTCAATGAAGCGCACCAGCTGTGGTCAAACGAAATATTATCATGACTATTGTAAACAACGAATTAACGATTCAGAAATGTCATTGACACTGACAATTAAAGCGACATATTATGTAGAAGACTATCGACAGTTCGAGCCTGTAGAGTATATCTATATTTATGAGAAGTTTTATGTAGTTTGTAAGAATATTGAATTTAATAAATATTATTTTTTTCTCTTTTACATTTTTACCCTACATATTAACCTTCTCCTGAAATTCAAACAAATTTTAAATGTAACCTTTTCTGTTTTGATTTTAAACAATATTGATGGGCACATAATTAACTGATAAGTGATTAAATTGTGGCAAAAAATGAAGTTTTACTTAACCGATACTACCGTTTTCCTAAAACTAAATAATACCAAGAATTTATTTTTTTACATTATAAGAAAGTGTTTCTTTAAGACAAAACGCATTTTATAATCCAAGAGATGAAACCAAAATTCAAAGAAACACAAATCAAAAAAGAACTGTTCACGTCCTCCTTAAAGTTTACTTTTTCATCTTTACTATTTTTAGTTCAAAGTATACCTTAGCGCGTGTTTGTAAAACACATGACTTTCACGGTTTCCCGGGCGTATTGCATTTTTAACAAACCGTAATTATTTACCCAGGCTGTGGTAAACAATTAGTTTGTTCAGTACCTGTAATCAGGTGTATGGGAAAAAATGTGCACTTACGTGAGTGAGGGGCTATACGCTATGTTGCTTTTGCTTCCCAGTACAGTTGAAAGGAAAACTCTGTCGCGTGAAAGTGACTGACAGTTTGTCAGCGAGTTCTTACAAAATATTCGATGCCTTTAAAATTAATCAAAAGTAATTAACAATGATAGCGTTTAACATTTTCGTAAGCTGCATTTGTCAAGTTTTTTTATCCGAAACGGTAATCTCATACAAATGGTTGGAATACTTGTCCAACCAAATATCCTTAACGGCGCATTCTCGGCAATTGACGATTTTTACCGATTTCTCGGTAAACGACACCATAATACTGAAAAAGTTGGCGAACCAAAACTCTGTAATCATAACGGAGGAAGCCAAGTTGGAAACTGGCATCAACGGACTAGGCCACATTCGACAGCCAGGAACGGCGTCGTTGTACATTTTGTTGACCAAAAAACAGGATTGCATTAGACATTTTGCGAAACATTTGCACGATGCCGTTCGACCTTTGGTATTGCCAAAAACTTTGATTATTTATACTAGGGACAATTCAACCACTGACGATGAAATCCACGGCATTTTGCGTTACGCTTGGTCAAACCGATTTCTGGACTTCTCAATCCTATCGTACAACAAAAGTGAACAGTTGGTTTATTCTTTCAATCCTTTTTTCGATGTTTTCGAAAAAACCCTACTGCCCAGCAAAAGGGACATATTTCCCGATAAAACCAAAAACGTCAATGGGTATCCTTTAAAACTGATAGCGTATCGCGACCTGCCATACCTCAATTACACAAAGCGCGGTAACGACATCCACCTGACTGGGATTTATTTTTACAAGATAAATATTGTCGTCGAGTTGCTCAACTTTTCAATGAAATTCATCAAAGTCGACGAAAGTCTCTCGGTGACCAATATCGTATACAAAAGTCTAATCACATTGAAATCCGGCGAATTAAGTATGCTCTCCGTGCCCCAAAGTCTCATGATGAGTCGTAGGACCTCTATGCTCTTTGTTCCGAGATTTTTTCGGCGGTACGTTGCCGTAGTTCCCATTTTGCTGACAAAACAAACGAAAATCTCTTTGGAAATTTTAATCGTCATTCCCACTTTGATCTTTATTATTATGATGGTGGTAGCGATGAACAGATGTAATAATGTGTGTAATGTCACTTGGAAAAAATGGGAAATCGTCGTTGTGCTTTTCGGTAAAGCAGCCAAGCTGCGATCAACGAATACGTTTGACAGATTATTGTTTTTAGGTACGCACGTGATTTTTTTTTAATTTCAAGTGACAACCAGTTTATTTTTTTTTACTCTATTGGTAATTAATATTTTTACAGTTGCAACCTTGTTGTCGTGTTACTACATAGTATCCATGTATCCTACGGCCTTCAGTGTACAAGTGAAGCAGAACGAGAGATCATTCGATAGCTTGGAGGAAATATGGGATTCCCAATTTTCATTGCCCATGTTATTGATTGACTACGAGTGTATTTTTTTCAACGAAACTAATTCTGAGATGAAAAAGTTAAAGCCAAAAGTTCAATTGATCGAAAAAGGAGCTGATTGTTTCAATAGTTTGGTAAAGCACCAAAATGTTATATGCATCGCGACCTTGGACGTTGCGACCATGTACGTGAAAAAAAATCGGTATCGGGATGGTTCACCGATAATGAAGATATCCAAGGCTGTGCTTTCCACGGAAGGTGTGGCTTATTATTTTGAGGACTGCTTTCCCCTGAAGGACAAATTCAGCGGTTTGCTTGGAAGATTGGACGAGACTTACCCTAGAAATCCCGAGTTCAATAGACCACCCGTTCATTACAAATACAGCGACATCAAAGATTTTGACGATCGTGACGCGCGTTTGACCACAGAGTTGATTATATTTTTATGCTTGGGCTACGTAACTTCAATGATTACCTTTACCATCGAAGTTATGATGCACCATCGTGTTTTTCTAAACTTCTCGGAAAAAATTTCAAAGCTTTTTACGAAAATTAAGTGATCGATTTCTTGTGAAAAATTGCACCTTGAATAATGAATAAATCTGCACTTGCGTGTGAGTAAAATATTTATAAAGGGGAGTGTTTCATTACCATGCATCGATCTTTCAGTACTTTATTATTATCCTACAGTAGATACTACACTACCTCGATTGTAGAAACTTGCGGCGAGCTTGCAAGCTTGCGCCGTTAGATGTCGGTAACGATTTTGTCTCGTTTACTTTCTTATTTATTTATTCATGAAACCCTTTATTTATTTATATATTTTAACCGAACAATACATCTTTTTTTTATATTATAGTGCTCTACGTCGGCTCCTTTTTAATAAGGGCACTACTATGGGCACTTAGCACTTGGGAGAAGGAAGGGAAGAGGGATGGGAGGCCTCCCATTACTGGGAGGGGGTAGGGGGAAATTAGGCAATTTTGCTGCGAGGAGGTCCGCCTAAACCCTCCTCGAGGAGCATTGCGTGGTGAAAAAGCACATGTGAAAAATCACAGTGGTACTTGCTCGAAAAAGTCGCACTGGCCGGGAATTGAACCACGGTCTCACGAGTGCCAATCCACGACCTAGCCGACTGAGCCACCGCGCGCTCCCTAACAATACATCTAACGATTGTTCACCCCTAAATTTGTTTATTCCAATGTCCTCTTTTGTTTGATTTTGTGGACATCATATTAAATACTTAAATAATTGCTTTTACGAGCATAAATTTAATCATTAAATCCATTTTCTTTTTTTCGTTCACACCATGTAGTATTAAAAGTTCAGCTCACAACTGAAATCACATTGGATTAACCTTTCAACGATCTTCATTTCACATCTCTATTACTGGCATCTGGACAAAGGAGGGGAAAAAAAAAAAAGTAATATTCTCGCACGGAAATGTACAAAAAGCGTTTTTTGTCACCACAAATATTTCGTCTTGCTCCGGGCAGCAATCCTCGGACGATTGAGACGTGATTCCAAAGGCGCGTGTGTTTGCCGAGCCTATCTCTTTTGGGGCACACTGTTTGCTCGCGGGTAATGGACCAGGACCGAGATTTTTCCAAAGCGGATTGCGCTCGGGAGATTCGAGGGCTCGGTCGAAAGATCCAAAAATAGACTGCCCGGATGAATAACAAAGGGACGGATGTTTGCAGAAGCTGTATCGCCCTTTGCCCTCTTTGGGGGTGACTCATCGGGTCCCTTTTCCTGCTCACTCTTTCATACAATAATACTTACCGTAAGCGATGGTCCACTTTTTTCCACACCCACAGGTAGTTCAGATTTTCTCGCACGTTGGTATCGATAAATTGCGTTCTATACCGATACTGGTCCATAAATCGTTGTCTTAGGGAAACGGCAATTTCTTCCCACCCACGCCCATCCAAGGGTTGATGATCTTCGAGTATCGGCTGGCTTATTAGCCAAGCAGTACGCGGCCAAGACGTACGGTCCCAGTGAGATTTGCCGTAAGCGCCAATTAGCGCCAGACACCAGATATTCAACTTTGACTCGTGCATGTATAAGCTCGATGAGACGATGGGTTAGTCCTCCCCTCCCTCGGGGAAAGTTGACTCGAGACCTACACGTGCTAGGCCTTGTACCTGACCCTATATCTTGCGTACTCATCTTTTTAGATAAATCACTTGGTTTTTGGTTTACGCAATTAAATGCTGGCAGTATCTGACGTTTCGGTGAAATGATAACGTCGTTATGTCGAGTTGTAACAAAAAAATAGTTGGATAGTTGCTTGTGCACCAACTGTTTACTTACAATTACACCAAGTTATCAGATTTGTTCTTTGAGTTACCGAAATGTATCACTAATTTATTACCAATATTATTTAATTGTTTCATTGAGTTATTTATTGTTGTTCAAAATATTATTGGTTATTGAGAATGATTCATTTTTACCAAAGTCTAAGAAGAAAAAAAAAAAAAATTTTGATCCACACTAAAAATTGATAAAAAAATGAAATCGTTTTAGTCCCACTACTGTTATTCGATTACGAATTTCGCTGCTCATTGTTGCTTGAATCAACAGAATTTTCTTTTTCGCGTACCAAAACGAAGTGAACGAAAAAAAGCCCGTGTCCTCCGTAAGTAAGTTTGGTTACTGAAAAGCGTGTTTCGGACAGTAGGTATTGTGGAAACGTTCCTCCCACCATCCCTCCTCAGCCACATGGCAACGACGCGCGGGACAGTACAATGCGCCCGAAAATTTAATTGCCGCCGGCAGAAGCGCTTTCAGCAGCAGAAATGGACGCCATTCCTTTCTTCATTGCGAAAGGCCAGATGAACGCGCGCTCAAAAGAAACAACGCAACTTTACGCTCCAACTGCTTAGTAAAAAAGACATTGCAATGACCATATTTTTCATACTTTCATTAGCAATTTGGTAAATAGCCTTACGTAACTCTACCTGCACCTGTGGGCTTCCATTGATTTTATGCAATTTATTATTAACCGAAATTTCACGCATGAAATACACGTTTATTAAATAATTTCATTTTGCTTTGCTCGCTTTAACGGGTTCCAGTTGACTGTCGAATTTGCGGGATATCGGTTTCAGCACCGTATACATGGGAGCTGAGAAAAAATTCAATTTAGATGATGACGGACAACCTATACAGCGTTGTATACACATGCACACATGCGCTATATGATACTCCAGTTGGAATAAACACCACTACAAAATATCCCCGGCTAAAGTCGTGCTGATCCTCGGCGACGAGTATATTTATAGCCACGTGCGCGCCTACTCGTCGTCTTGCTCTTTGATATCACCCCTCCAACCCTCGAACCAAAATACACACGCTAAACCACTCGACCTAAAAATCATTAATCAATCAATCTCCAAAGACAGCCGGCAAACTGCGACAGATGAATTAATTATACCACTCGTACATATAGTACATACATGTATTTTCTTTCTCTTTTGTTGTCTTCCAACCTCCCCCCACATGCATACCGCCGTACGCCCATGTATGTATAGGCAGTTCGTCGTGACGTCAAGCGCAGCACTTGTTGCTCAATTTTACCCTCCACCCGAGAGAGGGAGGGAGGGCAAAAGCCCCGCTCAGTAATAACACTCTAGAAGCCCTATATCCAGCTTGTGCATAATATACACGTATATATGAGAGAGGCCTTTTTTTTTCTTTTTCTTTTTTTTTTTTTTCTTTCTCTCCCCCGCTCCGTTCGTGCAATTGCGGAATTTTCTACCCTTGAGAGCACGAGAGGGAGTCCTACTTGATTTGTCTTGAAGAAGGCGAGGAAAAAAAAAATGCGTACGCGCTGGCGTCCCGCTTACTTTCTGATTTTCTGGCGCAACGACGGCGACTACTGTCCGTGTGCGCTGATTTTTCTACAGCTCGCGCGGTGGGGTGTGTGCGTTGGTTAGATTGAGCTCGGGGTGAAATTGTAAGGGTTGACGATGATGATTCGGTGGTGTTTTTTTTTTTCTCTCCTCCGAGGCTCTTTGATGTGCTTTTTTTTTTATTCGTGATTGCTATTGGGCTTGTCAAGTTACAGCGCGAGTATGTTTGTAAGCGTGAAAGAGGTTTTTTTTCCTATTATTATTATCATTATTATTTTTTTTTTTTGAAATTTTTTATTATTATTTTTTTTTTTTTTGATGAAATTTCTTTGTACAGGAGCTAATTTTGTCGACTACGAAAAATTTTTGTGACTTTGGTGCCTTTGAAATTTTTTACAATTTTAGCTTGTACAATATAACCCTTCAAATGGTCCGTCTGACTATTTATGGACCCTTACTACTGCTTTTTTGGTCAAATTTATTTGTACGGGAGCTGATTTCGTCGATTACAAACAATTTTTGTGGTGTTGGTGCCTTTGAAATTTTTTACACAACTTTAGCTTGTACAATATAACCCTTCAAATGGTCCGTCTGACTATTTACGGACTTTAACTACTGTGGAATAGTAGAAGTGTTTTTTTTTTTTACTATTTACAAGTATTCTGGCTTGTGTTTGATTAATGCAAGCGTGGTATTGAATCTAATAATGAATTATATAATGAATTATTTGTGGATTAAAAAAATAACAACTTTTTTATACGACAAATTACACGTTTGTACACAATAAATAGTATTTACGATACCTAACACCATTAGTTTTACTTTTGAATTTCACTGCCATGTAAATTTCCGTGTCTCTGTTACAGTACCCACGTGGAATAAATTTTAATTTAACGTTCTACTTTTCCAAAAGTTTCTCGTCACACATTTTTGCGCTTATTATTTTTTTATTCATTCAAAAATCTGTTTGCGGAGCCTTTGGATACGACTGATTTTCACCTCCTCTGTGATGATGTGCAATTTTGCTAGATCGAGCGCATCTATTCATAAATTCTAGCACGCCAAGCTACTCAATAGGAATATATGTATTTTTAGATCTTTTTCCGTGATACGTATACGATACAAAAGCTGTGCGATTCCTTTTTGGCGTGATTCAGAGGAAAAGTTTAAATTTAAATCTCCAATAATGTCAGACGTACGATTTTTTTCTTTTCACACTTTACCAAAGGAAAAAAGTACTCTTTTGGATCGACGAAATTGAATTTTTTTTTTTTTTTTCGTTCAAATATGCCATTTGAGATACGGTGGCTGGCATCCAAGCACCCACTCATCGAAAGTTATAACCGATACCCCAAATCAGGCACTCTTGTTCCTCTCTCTCGTATCGCCAATCAGCTTATTCCGAGTAAAAAGTTTCCAAAAGCTAGTAATCAATCCGCCCTATGTCCCCCAAAAGAAGTGTCACCCCTCGAGCAAACGACTGACTATACGATGAGAAACTCCTACTCCCTCGGGAATAAATAAATAAATCCCCGAGTGGCGAAAATATGAGGCGGTCGCGTATGATACACCACGTCGCGCCCAATTTCTTTTTCATTAGAGAACGATTCTTTCGATATAATGGCAATACGCAGTGCCTTCGACGCTCTTGTCACGTCCATACGTCATATTTCTTGCGGAAAAAGGGGGGAGACAACCTTGTTTTTTTTTCTCTCTCTCTCTCTACCCATTGTCCCCTGCGTCGAGAGTATAGAGATATGTTGTGAGTTTTTCCACGAGGAATGCTCTACCTTGGTGGACAAAGAGCAGCCAAGTTTTTCTACCGTTCACGGGGATGAAATGAATCAGAAAATGACTTTTTCTTCCTTACGGTCTTCTTCGAGGGTTTGGCGATTATAGGTGTGCTCGTTTTCGATTGACTGGCTTTTGTAATTATAACTTTCTCACGAGTGGGATGAAAAAATTTTTTCTCGTCCCCTTGTGATGTGGCACGCGAGATATAATATAAACGCATAAATCGAAGAACCGCCGTAATTCGTTTCCAAAGTGACTTTTGCAAATGAAAGGTGAGCAGCAACAGGAAACTGCGGAGCAAAATACAGCTGGTAAGGCATGACCAGCTGCCTCGCCAACAGATGTAACTAGGTATTTGGGAAACCCAGGAAATTGAATATGCCGAGGGAGAAATATCAAATGGACATTCGCTTTTAATTTCATTTGAACAAAAATCTTTATTAAGCAGTAAGTCGACTCGACAGAGTAGCAAATTTATTCGCTGTAATGCATGGAATCGGGTGATTAAAGAAAAGAGGTGCAAAAACAGTATTTCCCTTTACTCGCGCTCTAGTACGGATGATTAAGAATTCCGCTTTTCTTCTCGTTGGCTCGACCGAGAGCTACATCCATCAGATTATATTTTTAATTTCCCCCTTTTCCTCGGCTCGGTGGTTCGTTTATTCGCGCTTCAACCACCCCCTTTTCCGCGTCTCTGTACCCAAACGAGAACAAAGTTTCGCGAAATAACACAGCATAACGAGATCCTTCCACCACTTTGACGCTCATGGAGTAAATGCAAATTACGCGGCAGAGGACGCGGTTCGTTACATCGCAAGCTCGATTTGTTCATTACACTCTCAAACCCATCAAAATTCACTACGCGAAAGCTCGTTCGCAGCGTTTTCCCGTGGCCAGCAAACTTTCCACCTTCCCCCTAAAATTACCACCCTTCCTCTCTCTTACATCCAGATACGGGTGCACTTTCTTGCTCTTCCTCCCGGCAAATTTATCGCTACCGTCCCGAGCAAGTACCTGCGAGGAGGGAAAAGTCGTCCAAGGATTTTCGCGCGCGTTCTCGTCCTTCGTGCTCGACATCTGCGCGACCTTCGTCTCTCTCTTTCTCTCCTTGTGGGGGAAAAAAAAAAAAAAAAACAATAAGCTGGACGCGCAGATGGCAAATCAGCGTATACGTTTCACTTCGACGAACGTGTATAGTAAGCCAAGACTAATAGGACCTATGACTTATTCAATCAAGAAAAGAAAGTTGATAACAAGCACCAATCAGCCTGTGGCTCCGCAAACGTCAGGAGCGGCGCTCGAAAACCCAAGTCACATCCCGCAACTTTATCACGGAACAGCGAGAGAGAGAGAGAGATAATGTAAGACCGCACGCACGCGACGCATCTCTCATCGTATCGTCTCGAGTCGGGAGAAGGAACGGAGAGGGCAGAAAAGAAAGAAAAGACGCAGGAACAACATAGAAATTAATCAGCAGCCGGCGACAACGACGGAGCAGCCGTCAATTAGCTCCAGGAGAGCCGCCACCCTTTGCCCGCTGCACGGGCCACCCGACGCGTATACGCAGCATCACCCCCGTGTGCGCACTTTCTCCCTTTCCCTCGTATAATACCTACAGAAGAGTGGGTATACACACCGGTGGGTGCCCCCCCCCCCATACAGTGTCGCCGCGAGACTGCGAGCCACGCCTCCCACGCGTCTATATAAGCTCCGGTCGACTCGGTGCCGCTTCACTCGAACATCCGCGCTCCAACTGCTGGACTCGAACTCGCGTCACCACCGACGAAGGGTGAAAGAGAAACAGTGCGTGGGTTTTTTTTTCGTTTTGGTTTCATTGTAACTCTACGCTCGAGCGGTGAATTTTGCTGCCGTTGCAGATAATACATCTTAACCAAGGAGAGTTATCGCGATGATGTCGATGATGAGGAAGTTCAGTTTGGTCGGGCTCCTGTGCCTGGGTGTGCTCTGCATCGCCGAGGCCGTCAACGTCGTTGATCCCTACCTCGAGGACAAGCTCGAGGAAGCGGCTCTGCTCCAACAGGCGATAGGTTCTTTTTATTTTTCCTCTATTTGTTCTTACTGTGCTTTTTATCTCTCTCTTTTTTTCTATAAGTACCGAACAGCCGTAAAAATCGCGTAAAAGTAGTGTCGGTTGGTTTTGGTAAGACGTTGTAGTTTTTTTTATTTTATATAAGTAGTAAAAATTGACTTTAGTCAGACCCCCACGATTCCCCTGTCTTTTATTATGTTTTGTTTCGTAACGTAAGTAGAAACAGCCAACTTTAGTCAGGCGCTCTAATTTACCTCATTTTTGAATGTATTCTCCTTTTAATTCCTTTTTAATATCAATTCAAAAGTAGTATAGGTCCATTTCGGTAAGACATCATCGTTTTGTTTTCATTTAAATGTATCTTTTACTCGTTTTTACTCATACATTACTTTTTAAGTAGAAAGAGTCAGTTATAGTCAGCCATCAAGGCATATCATTTATTTTCACGTCACAAGTAGTGACAGTAAATTTTGATTCACTTGTCTTTCGTTCCGTTTTTAAAAAAAGATACAATCAATTTTAGTCAAGCACTATCCCAGCTATATCTTCGAATGCACTTCATAATTTTGGTTCATAGGTAGAGTAAGTCAATTTCAGTAAGACATTGTAATTTTACCTGTCTTTGACTGTATCTTTTAGTTTCTTTTTGTTGTTACCCTGCAAGTATTGTCAATTAATTACCACACTGTCATTTTCTCTTTTTTCAGTGCATTCTTGTAATAACTGCAGTTCTCTTTGTTTTTGTTTTATAAGTAGAACTAGTCAATTTTTGTCAGATACAAAAGCTTTGTTTTTACTTTTGTTTAATGAGTAGCATCAGTCAATTTTGATAAGACGTCGTGGTTTTATGTGCACATTTATGTTTATTTTGTTGTATTTTTTAAAAATATTTATTTAGTTATTTTTGTTTGATTATTTAATACAACTTTTCCTATAATACTTGAAAAAAATCGAAAACATAAAATCTCAAGTGTTCTTGAAAATATAAAGTTATACGTATATTAATCTTATAAATGAGCTCCACCACATCGCAGCCAGACATTATTCGTTCACTTTCCCACATTTATAGTACACATATAATCAAGTACTGCTCCGGCAATTTTACTTCAAATTCATGGCTCGCTCGTTTGCGGCATCATAAATTTTTATTAGATACTCGCAGCCACTTTTCGCACCTTATATGTTATGTGCCAGCATATAATCACCTTGGCGAGAAAACTTTCTTCAAACGAAGTCGGGTTAATTCCAGCCCGGAAGACGTATTTGCTTGACGAAATCGCCAATCAATATTTGATTGATCAAAGATCAATGACGTGTCGTAAGGAACGAATAAAAGGCTTGTAATTATTAATTTTGTAATCATCTGATACATACGACTTCACTCAATTTTGCCAAGAGTAACGAGGAGCGAACGAAAATTTTTCTTGATCGATGATTTATTCGTTCGCGTTGATTAGATGAAGCTCGGAACAAAACGGTTTTCACTTTTCGCGTGCATGTTGATGGAAAAAATGTAATCGCTCCTGTCCCAACGCACCTTTTACATAAGAGTCCTCGAGGGAGCAGACTTTTTCCCATCTAAAAAAACTTGATGGAGTTTCTTTGAAGTTTTATGAATTATGCAAATACACGCGAAGCCTTGATACGTGTCGGGACGATTTTCCTCGGGATCTCATTGTTGTTGTTTTTTTTCCGTTCCACCTTTCCTTGGGCAAAGTTTGCGTAAGGTTGCCATTCATTGAAAACCCGCTCAATGGAGAAGCAATAAAAGGAAAATCTGCACCAGAGGTCTTGGGTCTTGATCGGTCCAAAGTGCCTGACACGCACCGAAACAACGGAATTGCCTAGGTGTGGTGAAATAAAAAAAACCTTGCGAATCCCCTTGCTCTAATGGGATTAGCCGCGATAGTCCATCACAGCAAGAGGACATATTGTAGTGACGCCCTTCGCGGGGAACGTCGCTTTCTCATCAGCTTAGTTTTAAAAGCCAATAAATACGCTCGAGACAGTGAAATTTGCTATTTGTCTTTTAGTTGCGTGCCACATCGTAGAATTGTACCGATTGTTGTTCAATTAGCATAATAGTTTCCGATGCCGCAACGCGGGTATAAACTGATGTGTGTCGCGTTACGGTGATTTGTTTGTTAACTCTGTTAATTAGCTTAAGCGATCACGTGGCAAGTCGACCGATGGACGTTGAAAAATTAAAAAGCTTGTGATAATTTTTTTCTTGAACGCGCGACGGTATACCATGAACAAAAGACGCGCTTCATCAAATTGCAAAAATAAACGGACAATCGAGCAATTTCTTCGCAAACACACCACTGCGACACGTAAAAGTGCAACGCGAGCTCGCGTGTGTGACGCGCTTCCTCTTATCTCGGGTACTTTTCCAGTCGGCTTTTTCCGCAGTGGTCGTTGTGTTATCGACGAGCGCGTCGTTGGCTCCCTCCCTTCGATAGCCGTTATGATAGTAGAATGGATTTCGCAATGACTGAGATGTTGATTAAAACGCACGGGTGGTACGAGTTTTTTTTTTTTTTTTCAAATCGATAGTACACCCCGAGTTAAGAACACCGGAAAAACATTGTTGCTTATCTAGTTAGACTAATGGCTAATTTCGAAAGTTGCAAAAATGATCGATAGCCCGATCGGATACTAGTGTACACCAGTAAAATAGGGACAAAAGGAGGAGAAAAAGAAAATTTTCTCGGATATAAATACTCCCAATTTCAATGATGCAGATCCATCCGTACCCGACGTATGATCCGACCGGCTTCTGATTTTCATTTCCAGTTCAGTGATTTCATCGACAAAGGATGATCCTTTGGCACAATAGAGAAATCTCAGCGTATTCCCTAAAGGGATGAAAACGTCAAAGGAAAAAGTAACTCTGACGTTTTTCCCTTTCAGCTCTGCTGATCCTAGTTTACGTCTCCCCCTCCCCCATCTTGTGCGGCTGAATCTGCAGGGATGATGCGATTTTCTTCGTCTAACGGGAGATCGGCGGGCTAGACGGTCTTTTTCATCCACTGACTTGACTCTCGCGGGACTATGTGTGTGTGTGTTTGGCGCTGGTTGATCGATTCGTTTGCCGCTTTCTTCTTCTCCCTTTGATAAGGATTTTCTTCGCTCGAGAGCCAATAAGGGTGATTTCTATGAATTTTTCCATTTGCTTCATCAGTGCGACGGTTCATCTTGGAATCAATCACGAAATAATACGTTTGGTTATATTCGTCGGGGAAATACTTTTTGGACCAATTTTTTTTCTCTCGATAACGAAAGCTCAATTTAATTTGTCGAGCAATTAAACGCTTCTCGCGTACCTGCTTGGAAAGGAAAACTTTGTCTTCAAAGCCAGTGTATGGATCGGTAAGCTCTAAGTAATCTTCGTGAAAGAAGATAGTGGCAGTAAATGAAATTTTTTCGCATTAAGGGGCTAACTTTTGGCTTTTCGCCACACAGAGAGAGTTGAGAGAAAAAAGTTACGGTTTTAATCAGAATAGATTTTCCACGGCATATACGTGGACTCTTTTTTTTGAAGTTCTGTAAAATTTTTATACGTTATCCGAACATTTTATTTTATATATATTTTTTTTTTCCAAATTAATACTGTTTGACCTAATACAACGAAATAATTGAAATTTAATCGAATATAATAAAGAGTCACCAAACACTTCAACAACATTTTCTTCTTAGTAAAGACAACAGTAGCCGTTGATGTATCTGTGCTTGAAATTTATAACCCTACACGATTTGCAGCGACGATTCTTTATCTTAAAAACACAATTTCAAAAAACCGGCGAACACAAGTCGGTACGAACAATGAAAAAAAGGACTCGGTACGTGCCGAGCTTAGATTGCGAAAAATTAACCCCACGTGCGACCGCATTGTACCTTTCATTGTCCACGAGATTATCCTGCAAGAGAGATTTTCTTCCTTATGAATTTATTGTTATCGCAACGAAGCCGGAGGACTCGCACGTGTCTTCCTTATCTTTTTTTTCTTCTTCGCTAGATTCAGGGGGTATTAATTGTAGTTAAGTGAGGCTGAGATAATTAAATTACGGGACTAGGACCTTTTTTTTATTTAAATCCAGTTTTACCATGGTTTTTTAAATTTTCGTTTAATCATCCAAAATTAAGGACTTCTAATAATTTTTGTATTCAATTTGATTGCAGCCGAGGAGGAGGCAGAGTACCCCGACAACGTGATAGACAATCTGTTCCGCCAACCCGACAAGTAAGCAATGATTCTGATTCGAACACGCAGTGTCGAAAAAACCCTGTATACATGTACACTCCTGCATGACGAAAAATTCACTGCTGATAATTTTTTTTCCCCCCCCCCCCAACTCGAGTGTAAGTGTGTGCGTATATGAAAAATCAGAGAAATGTTCTTGGCAATGTTGACAAAGTGAGTTTTTTAAATTGGTGATGAAGTTTTTGCTACGAATATTTCTCTGATTTCGTTGGATTGGCTTACCTGCTTGTGTGGAACTACATTCGAGGAACAAAGTATTGTTCGAGAAAATGTTGGAAATTGATGCAGATAAAACTAGGTGAAAAATTATTGGAAAAAAGAAAAAAATAGTTGGATATCATTCTTAAATTCGTTAATTTTCAACTTTCTCTCGAAATTTCATCCCTCCTCGCTCCCGTATCCTGTGTACTCCCAAACAACCCTCCACGTAGGCATTAAAAAAAAAAAAAAAAAAAAAGGAAAAAGAATCAAAAAAAGAAAAAAAAAACCTGAATGTTTTGGTGTTTCGATTTCACTCGGCAAAAGATCCTCTCTCGATTTCCCTAATCTCGAATAGACGTGCCTCGTGGTCCTCTGTGTTTAGACGCGCGTGCGTGCGGCGTGGCGGCATCTGCGACCACCGGCCACACGATTGCTGCTTCAACTCGAGCTGCCGCTGCAACCTGTGGGGCTCCAATTGCCGCTGCCAACGAGTCGGGCTTTTCCAGAAATGGGGCAAGAAGTAAGACCTCCGCACTCCAACGCATCCAATGGGAGAGCAGCTACACGACAGCAACAACATCATCAGCAAGACGACTAACAACAATATATTATGACATAGCGCGCCTCTCTTTTCTTCGAAATTATCACTTCATCGGCGACTTGGTATTTCAAACTTCATTTTCCTTACTCATTTTTGTTCATTCATTTATTTATTTAAAAACACGCTTCTTTTTTTTCTCGAGTTGTTTGATATATGTACGAATAAAACGACTACCATGTAATAGAGAACTAATTTGTACGGGTGAGTAAATCATATGTGTACGTAGATCCGCGGAGAGGAGGGTTCCAAAGATTAATTTTCACTCGCATACATTGATTGCTGCGTCATGTTCGATACATCAACTTCATTTTTACGCTGCTACATGGATAATAACGTGATGGACGGTGTGGATGTATATGTACGCATCTATACGTTGAAATCCTAATTAATGCTATTTACTAAACCATAGGTTCATAGTTATCGGGTGTGACGTACAGTTTTTGCACACTTCGCCTACTGAAAAATCGTTCTTACATCATACGTGTTTCCTATGTATTTCCAATAAAGACGAAAAAAATCAATTTTACCGTGACTGTCTACGTATAATTTTCGCGAAATGAAATTTCCATACTTACCAATTTTCGTAAAAGGATAATATTTCAAGCGCACGAACTTGCATAAGAAAAGCAGAAGCGGAAACAACGTATAGCTGGCAAGGTACATTTATCCACACGTTCGTAGAGAACTTGACTCGCGTACAATCTCTATATATTACCTATATGACGGATTCCGAAGACGGAGACGTTTTTTCGAGTCTAGAAGTAGATTAAATTTTTCAATGAGGCTGCAACTACTTTTTTTCTTTCTTTCATTAATTTACAGGTTGTCGAAGGATCTTTCAAGGTTTTCTCAATTTTTCAACTTAATCAATTACTCGAGAACATTTTCTTCTTAAATTAGATCAGATGAACTTTTTTACCACCTTGGAACCGAAAAAAAAAGAAGAAGTAGTACACCTCGCGAAAAATAAAATCCATTGTGATTCTTGAAAATGTACATCATTTTTTTCGTGGAATCCCTCACATGCATGAGCGAGTTTGCTTACGCCCACAAGACACAAACTCTCGCCCGTATAGAACAAAAGACAGATGCGCTCCCGACGCGTACACTCTCGTGTTACATCTTCTCCTTCTCCTCCTTATCTTCCGCTTTATTTTCTAGCCAGCGCACATAAAGGCTTGCTGACACTTGTCTCTTAGCCACTCCGTGAACCTCCGTCACTTGCACTTTGAAATCAAAACAAAAGGGAAAAAAAAAACAAAAAAAAAAAAAAACAGCAAATGTGTATCATCTCGTTCGTATGGGTCGAAGGACGATCGTTAACACGTGCACTTTATGATGTCGCGCTCTTGTATACCTACATTAACTACCCTCTCTTTTCATTATACCAATACAGTTACATGTTGTGAAAACATAATAATAATAATAATAGCTAAAAGACGAGAGACAAGAGACCTCAGTTCGAGTCGTGTGTTCTCGAGGTATTTTTAAGACTGTCGATTAAACGAGGACTTTTTTTCCTTATATAATGAATTTACAAGTTATATTAATGAATTATTGAAAAAAAAAATAAAATAAAATAAAAAGATTATCATCACGATAAGAAAATATAGCGATGGCGATTGAATAAAGAAACAAGAGGCTGATAGTTTGATTACAATACTTAGTGATGCCGTACAAAATTATTTTGGATTATCTACATTGAATTTGATTGTAAATGATTTGTTTTTAAGTCGATACTGCTGTATATTACGAAAAATAAATCGTTGTACGTCCAATTGTACGTGTGTTTGGTTCATCACACGACTGTAGAATGTAGATTTGAAAGTTCGATTTGTGCTTTTCGCGCTTGAATGTATAACTTTATCACGGTATAATTATTATTGCTAAGAAAGCTTTCGGTGTGTCAAACGATTTTTCGAGCCGATTACATCAATACTGTTCAGTTTTGACAATCATCGATTACTTTAACATGATTCGCGTGACTTCGATTTCCTCTCTAATTGTTTTTCAAATAAAATAAAAAAAAAAAACACAATACACGCCAACCGGTAATTATTATTGAAAAAAGTAAACCCCTTACTTTTTAAAATTTATTCAATAAACAAAAAATCAATATGTTTACGATATCACGTTCATATAATAAACAATAGTCGAGCATCTAAATTCTATAGTTTATATATTGTCGTTATAAATAATTGTACAAATAAAAAATATACGTATAGAAGACACGTACAAAAGAGTTTTAATATGATGTTATATCTATTGTATTATACAATTATTAAAATATATTCGGTTGTTATGGCAATCACAATTACAAACACTCTTTCTGTTCTACCTGAGTATGTCATTATCAAAAATCTAGAAACGCTCACCAGCAAGTGGGACTGAGATTTTAACATTAACAAGATAATGCTTAAGGTAAAAAAATAACATCGAGTATGCATTTTCAGAAGTTTGAAAAAATTTACAACGCCGAGCAAGGTCATGTCAAAAACATCAAAATTCCCGTCACAGCGAATCAATGAGTATCAAGCACACATAAGTTGTTAATCTTTTTTCTTTCCATACTTGATCATGGCTATAAACCTAAATACGTGAAGCTCGACGTATGAATCATACGGAAGGCAGCGCGTGAAAAAGAGGGTTAATGGCTAATGTGATTATGTTCGATTGCGACATCGCTGCAGTAGGCATATAACTACGTACATGCTGTTGTTACGTTGCGATCGTTTGTTTGTACGTATGCATGTGTGTATGCTTCAAAAACAGGATTGTCTCTTTTTTCGTTTTGTTGATTTTGTAGCTAGTGTTATCGTTTTATATTTTACGAGTGATGTACTTAAAAAAAAAAAAAAAAAAAATGATAAAGTTTTTGAGATAAGCCTCATGACAATAGGAGACGAGAGACTATACGATCATTGTAATCGAGAAATAAATTAAAAAAAAAAAAAAAAACAAAAAACAAAATAAAGTTATTAGTGACGTGTAAATCGTACACAATATATATATACATTACATGATTGTATAATTGCTTTCTGCAGTTCAAGATAATCCATTCATGAAATCATTTGCGCAGTTTGCGTTAATTAAAAATCGTAGTCATCGACTTTTCGCGTGAGCTACTTAATTTATTGCCCTACGATGATTTGAAAGAAAATGAGAAAAATTCAAATTACCTACCATTAAAATTAATTATTTTTGCCAGACAAACCACTTTCTTTATTGAACTTAGGAGTATATTTATAGTTGCGTTGACGAAAACTTGTCGTAAATTTATCGTTTATTTTTTACCTGATGTATATGTGTAATATCATATATAAATATCAATGTAAGATATTAATCTATAAACAATTATATGATGACATAAAAAGGAATATTAAATTCTCATAATTCGTACGACGTCAAAGTTATTTGTGTGCGCCACACCCACCCGTACATGTATTATATTTACACCTGTTCCTCGACCACTGCCTATCATCATCATCATCATCCTCTTTTCTCCTTATTTGTAAAGGCATGATGATATTTGACACGAGTATATATATAAGCGGCAAAATGAAAGATGAGTCTCTCTCTTTCCGCGTCCATCTATCTCCTGGAAACTGGATCAAGAAAGAGAAAGACAATGGCCTTGTAACGTTGAATGCGGAATTAATAGAATTTCCCTACGGAGTGCGCGGCATCGTACACTCATACCCATATACGGTACGTACATGTATTACCTTCTCCGACGCTCTGATTCGATCCTTCGATGCGGTAATTTATAGCTTCGAAATCCGAGAGTAAACGTGAAAAGTTATAACTTATTGGACCAATGCCAATCGCGTAGTTATTCCGATACTGATACATCGACATGAAATAAGTCACAAAATTATAATCAAATGACAAATGGGCCAATTAATGAAAAATATCGCACTTGAATTTTTTTTGTTCTTGATGAAACTTTTTAATATATGCAGTAAACTATTTGAAGTGGTCGGGAACTTGGACTACGTGCATACATACATTACGCAACTAGACCTCAAAACACATCGTACCAAGATGAAATCATAAATATTAAGTGGTTATTTTGAAAAGAGTAACAACACTTGCATTTTGTTGGCCGATATTTTTGAAGTGATGGGCAGGTGTGGGGTACACCAACTTCGATGGTAAGAAGAAATTGCAAAAGTTATGTACACACGTGTAGTCGTCGCGTGTGCAGAAGATGAAAATAAGAGCCTCGGAGCGTCGGAGTACGAATGGGAGTTTGGATCGAACGCATCACAATGTAGGGTGTGACGCAAATCGAACGTGACTACGTGCGTAGGTCAAGGCATTGGCGCAGTAAGTCGATACATGTGGCAGATTGAACCCTGACGAACTGCAGTGGATTTCTGTTGTTCAACTATTTTACACATTTTACGAGAAAAAAAAAAAAGAAAATAATTAATATCTTATACGTATACTAAATAATACTACTCTGTACTAAGATGGTGAGTCCTTGATTTTTTGCTAATATTACACTTACGTGCGATACTACGGCTGGGCCGTGTCAGCTTATGAATGTTAGCAAATACTCCTACAAAGTTCATAAACGATGTTAGCGTTTAGCATAATCTAGGCATATTATCACGTACGACGATGACGACGAAAAAATAAGGATAACCGAATCAAACCAATTAATTTACGTAATTGAGCCAAATTCTATCGGCTCCAGTACACGCGTACACGTAGCAGCACCGATCTTTGTAGCAATTTGGAAATTGCGTCATCGCCTCGTACTCGTTCACGTTTTTTTCAGCTACACCATAATATAAGTACTCTATTTCTATTCACTCCGGAAGCAGCCATTTCTGACTCAAACCAGGGATGCGATGAGCTTCTACTTTTCTTTTACAGCGTGCGATGCATACCCAAACAGCCTATTTTTTTTTTTTTTTTTTTTTTGAAGTACCGTAGCACACACGCTATTGTTTGATCGAAAGGCAATCAATGCAAATCTAAAGCAGAATCGATCTTACGGTGCTCGGACACATCATATTTCGCCTCGAGTGGGTTATTGAAATTTTTGAATTATGCAGCTATGCATCGGCGAACAAAAGCCATTGTACATTTGTTCAACAATGGCAAAGGTCTTAATAAGGATTACCCATCACCCGTGCGAATACGCATACTATGTTAATGCTCGATGGGTTTGTTGTGGATGAAGCCGAGATAACTATTAAACGGATACGATATACTCATCAATTTTCATGTAAGCGCGTACATCGATACGATAAAAAAGGCATGGGTGTACTACTGTTGCAAGACTGTCAACTGTACACGTGAGTATAAATGACGATCCCTGGAAAAACCAAGCTTTTCTCAAAAGTACGATTGGCCTTATAAACGCATACACGCAAGTAGGTATGCAGGTGAAAAATTTGGCGCGTTAACAATGGAAATAAGGCCCTTTGCGTTAATTAGAGAGAGAGGAGAGACTCGGGTGTAATTAGACGCCCCAGAAGTCGCATGGGACTCGTGTAGTGCCAATTGTTCTTTCCAGGTCGCCTGGCTACATAGGTACACGTATACGCGTTACAGAAAGAAGAGAAGGATGGTGATGATGGTGCCGATCACAAGACGCTGATGATCGTCTCGTACACGCGTAGATTGATGCAAGTAGTTGTAGAAAAGGAGAGAGAGAGAGAGAGAGGTACATCTGTTTTTCATCCAGTTGGAGCGTATGGGACGTGTGCGTGCGTGCGTAGATTATGGGATGAAAAATAATGGCGTGCCCGGGTAAGCACATGTGTATATTATGTACACGACACGTGTATATGTATACCGATTTTATCGGCAAGTATTCTTCCCAAGTGGGGGAGACGAAGAAGCAGTATTTTGTTCGACAAAGGTGTTGGCATATAATTCATATATCTCACAACCCTCGTCTCCGTTCTTCTACTTTTGTCATCCAATTGTCCCTTGCATTGTTCATACCTCTATGAGATAAATGTTTATCACCTTTATTTTTAAAAAATCACGAGTATACCCACAAGGTGTGGCAGACGTAGTTTGTTATCTAACGTATTTCTTTTTTTCTCAACAGCAAACGGTTTCGCTGCGAATTATAAAACGCGAAGAAAAAAAGGACACACGTGTGTATGCACTTGCGGGGCACTGCACTCTTTAAAATAATACAAAAAAAAAAAAAAAAAAAAAGGGGAACAAGAGAGAGCCATATAACGGTTCCGGCGAGCATTTCGAGTTATACTGTTGCTGCTATCGTTTTGTTCTTCTTCTTCTTCTTGTTCTTCGTTACGAAATGTCGTCGGGTGAAAGGCGCCCGCGAGAGCCCGAGACACGTGTATATGCGTCTCGAACTCTAAAGCGTTCGTCAGCACATACGTGCGCGAGAGAAGAAAAGTTAAGAGGTGGGGAGTACCCGCCTGCCTTTTTTTTTGCACTCGGCTTCAATTGAGTTTTCAGGGAAGGTATATATATATATATATACACGCGCGAGGGGAATAAATGTCATTCCTCCCTATTTTTCCGGGCTTTTCTCATGAACTCCAGTGAATTTGTGCTGGCTGGACCGAGATTCGATGCAAATATTTGGGTGCGAGGTTTGGGGCTATTTGCGCACACACAAAATCGCCTAAAAAGTACGAAAAATAAAAAATGACGAGGTTTGAGGAATAGTTAAAAAAGTTCTTGACAAATTCAAGTGCATTGCAATGAGTTGTTGTCATTGCCTCGTGATGGCTCCCCCCCTCCCTTTTTTTTTTTTAACCAAAGTGAAAGTACGTGCGTGGGTTATTTGATATTGATCGTGGAGCGAACTTGACTTATGTTAAATGGTGGCTGATGGCTTGTTGGAAACGTGTTTTATGTGTATATAAATTGAGGCTGAGGAAAGTGAGACAGCAGATGACGAGGAGCCCGAGACATATCGGGAATTGAAAGTGAAACGTCGTCGGGTTGCCGAACAAACGGAGGACTGACTTTGCAATTAATTGATAATATTGAGTTTTACGATTTGTGTGTTGTGGAAAGTTTCTTCAATCAACAGTTTACAAAGAAACGTTTTGTTTGTGCAAAACATCTACACTTTGAAGCAAAACAATGTTATTATGAAAAATTTCTACGTTATGTATATGAGAAACCCATCTCTTAGATGAAACTGTACGCGCCGGAGATAAACGCGTGATCGTTAACTACCAAGAAAGTGTGAAAAACTTTCCAGGGCCTCGTTCTCCTTGGTGCTCTATGTTTTTACATTAAATTTCTAAAAATAAACAAACAACCCATTTTAAAATCCGTTTTACATAAAGTGCAGAAGTAAATTCCATCCCAACGATGCACTTGAAAAAAAACAAAATGTAACTTGGATGATTCGAAACGTCAATGAACGACTCGTCAAAGTGTCAGCTCTCACAGGCCACGTTCGCGAAGAGGAAAAAAATATGCATCAGCAGCTTTGCGGTTTTCACAACTGCATTTTACACCTATGTATAGTACATATATATGTGTACACGATTGGAGTCAATGGTGCACACCAGAATAGAAAGTAGGTAAGTACATGCAAGCGTCACGACTCTTCTGGAATTCCAGCTGTGGAGAGTTGACGCTCGTGTTCCGTGTACGTATACAAGTAAGTCGTAAGATACTACATAGCAGATTCTCATATGGATATTGGTGAGAGGGAAGAAGGAGTAATCAAAGGTGTTGCCTAAAATAAATGTATACTAATATTAGACGCCAACGTGTGTGTGTATATATTTGTGCGTCCATTAAATTAGCGAGGTGTCACACGAGTCTGTCACGTACCCGATGCTCCCGTGCCCGCATCGAATTGCAAAGCTCATCCATTTTTCTTTTCCGGTTATACGGTTTCGTCCTAATTGCGACGGGCATATTTTTAGGATGTTAAAAATAGATTTCCACGAGCCGGTTTTTTTTTGTCTGGTTTTGCGTGTATAAAAAATGTATATTTATGAAATGGAGATTTTTTGTTTCAATGTTGAAATATACAGGTATTATAAATATTCATCAGCAAGTATAGCGACGTATAACGCGAATAACGATATGTCTTATCGTCTGCGCCGTTACGCTCCGAAGCATCAGCTCCTGAGCTTTAATTTCGTTAAAATCTCTATGGTCCCCCAAGCTATTCTCGAGGGTGCCTAAAAGGCTTTATAACATGGTGCCGTACTAAGTTATAGTGGGTGGAATTTATGGCGTTGTGCTTTGCATTTCCTTTGACGTGGCTGCGAAAGTATATAGTAGATACAGACGTGATGTGGTCAGACAAAGTAGATACGTCGCAGATGCGGAGAGGCATGGAGCAATTGATCATTAGAAAACGCCAAGGACACGAACGAAAGTCTTGGAAATGTATTTAATTCTGCTTGGGAAAAACATGTCGCACGTGCGTGCACGAGTTTGTGGGTGTACGTGAGTTTGTGTTTTATTGGAAAACTTTTTACTCCCGGTGATCGCTAGGAATGACTGCATTACACAAGTTGCAGGTTTTATTAAAGTGAGAATATTTTTCTAGCTGCTTCCAAAGTGGCCAATCTTTTTCTCCAATATAACTTTGTACATTAGCGTTTCACACAAGCATGCAATATGCACATATACTATATACATGCACAGTACAATATTTGTGCGTCGTTCACTTTTCTTAGCGAAATAAATTACAATGAGGGATCGTAAAAATAATCAAAAATAATGACAATAACAAGGAGTTGACATTTTACGATAAACATCACATTTATCACTAAAAACATCACTTCTAGATCTAAAAAAAGTCACATCTCTGGGTTGTACGACTTACTTTCAGTTTTCATGCGATACAGGAAGAAACCGGTATCCAACAACAAGAAATATTAAGAACAAAAATTATAGATGCATAAAAGAAATGTCATCTGTAAAATTATTTTATGGTTCACAAAAACAAAAAAATCTCACGTAACCTTTTGCACACACGAAGCCCTACCTCTCGTTTTCACTTTTTGATCTTTTTTTCCGTTTGAAAGTATTGAAACAGTTGGATCAATATGAATCCCGCAAAAAATATCTCCTCGCCATCCAAAGCCGAAACGATTCTATTCCCGTAAAAGCGAAAAATGTAAAAAAAAAAAAACCCAAATATTTACACAAAAAGTTGTACAAACAAAAACAAACTGATAAAACCAAACGAACCGAGGCAAAACTTCGTGTACTTTTTCGGAACGTATCGATTGTCGGCGCAGAAAAACGTGAAAAACGCGATCGCGTGTGGGCGCAGACGAGCAAACCAAAAGGAAAACTGTTCACGTGGCGTTGTTCTCTACGCCTACGCATGTGCGTTTTGGACTTTTGCTTCTGCTTCAACGTCATGCAATACGTTTGATGAACAATTGTAACATTATTCATCCAGTCAATTGGTTTGGACAATTAATTGGTTAACCACAGGGTTAAAGATGAAATCCGGGAGTGCGTTATTACCATGAAAAGACTCTCAAAAAAATGATACCTGTTCCAGGCACTTGATATATTTTTTAACTTCCATCAACGTAATGTATTTTGGTTTTCTTTTTCTCCTTTCAAAGCCAAGTGCACGTGCAAAATAACGAATAAAATACGAAATCTGAAACACGTAGCGATCGGTTGCATAACGGCCGCTCGCGATCAGAACGCTATATACGGTCTCAGCAGTGACCTTCAAATTCTTGAGTGAATTTTTCTTTGCATCGGTGGAATGTTCCTCGCGTGCGTATAGTCAAGCAGGTAATGTCCTTCACGTAAAACTTTAGCTACGAGCTTTTGGTTCTCTCGCCAGAATCAACCGACCCATCCGCAAAATCAGGGAGATCAAGAAAATAAAGGAGATCGTAAGAGGAGGTTTTTCGTCCCGAGATAACTGTAATACCCCGTTTTTTTGCGACGAGCACAAGTAACGCTCAACGTGACTCTGCACAACCGATGCTCTCCTAACGCGAGGTGAAAAAAAAAAAAAAAACGCGCGCGTCAAATGCAACTTCAAACACATCATCCTCGTTCTCTCTGTTTTCTTTCTTGGTTCGACAGCTGCTTCGCGTGTAGCGGCGGTATGTATACTTTTTGCACCACGCGGTAATGAAACGAAGTGCCCGTAGTTTTGTATATTTTCCAAGCCAACGCATTTGTGCCAGAAAAAAAAAAAAAACCCTCGAGAGGTGTTACAATTGTATACGTACACGGCGGCTGTTTACTTTTTTAGGTGGCTAACGAGCTTGTTTGCGCTGAAAATTTTGTTTAGCAAAAAAATACAACATCAGCTAATGCATTGCCTGACCATAAGGAAAACAAAACGGCTCGCCGACGACGAGTCTTCCTGATCTAGAAAAAGAAGGAAAAAAAAAAGTTGTTGTTTTGACTTTGAGTAAATGTGCACGCCGACTGAATATAAAACATATATTTGCGACAAAAAAAAAAAAATACCAAACAGAAGAAACTGATATATATATATATATATACATCGGGTCGACCGACAGGACAATTCCATTACACTCGACGATTTCATCCCAACGCCTCCCTCGTTTCGCAGTACGAAACCACCGCAAGTACTTGTTTATAGCTCATTAGCTCGAGAATCGAGCATAAACTCCAAAGGCAAAAACGACCTCGTACATTTAAACGGCTTCCTGGATGACGCGCACCCGTACCTGCGTGCATAGACTCTCGGAGGGGTGGTGTCCTTCGATCGATAGGGCAAACACGTTGCAGCGATTTAGAGGTACTATTGTACACAGGGGAGAGACAGCAGGACCCGCTCGGTACCCGCAGTGTACGGACGCGACGGGAGGCGAATCCGAGAACTATTCGACAAGATTGACACACACACTCTGTTCTCTAGCTGATGGGCGCACACGGCAGGATCAACGATATTCCATTCGGGGGGTAGCTTATAGTACGCGTTAAACGGTATTATCCTTGTCGTCGGCTTCCATCCACTTGATCCTCGTTCTACACGTGCTCGTGGCTCACGAGTTGAATGTACATATACCTAACATGTCTGCGAATCAAAGCCTGTCTCTCTGAAAACTCGAATCACTGTACAAGTACACAGTAATCCAACCCACATCATCTCAATCGCTGCCCGATTTCGGATCTCCGAGGCCAACCAATCGGGGAGTTTCCTTCCAAAGTATGAACTCGCGGGCAGACGGACTCTGGCCATTGACGGCGTGTATACAATTACACCCAACTACCGACCAAAGTTGTAAACTCGATTAAACTCGTCAGCGCGTGAGTAATGAACGTGGGCACCAGAAACTATCAGAAGTATATACATATAAATACATGTACGCGTGTGAACTGTCGTATAATTATACCTACCGGTTAACATGAAACAGCAATATCAATGGGACTTTTGCGCTTACGTAACTGTGCGTAATGGTCGGCGAGCTACCTGCCGTACGCTCGGAGATAAATATTTCAATTTTATGGAAATCCAGTCGACGGCTTTGTAACAACTGCTTCTGTTTTTTTTTTTT